AATTATACTTTATATGTGTTTAAAAAGTATTACGTAATAATTTAGTACTAATTTTTTTTTATATATAATTAAACAGCCGTAATATTTGATCATATAATATAATAGTACATGTATGTATCTTCTTTATTTGAAAAGATAAAATTGAATTTCTAACTTTCTTCAATTAAAAATAAAACGCCTGTATATGTGAAAATCATGTATATACTAATTTAGAACAAAGCTATTAAGTAATTTCAAGCTCAAACATTCTATTCCGAGGTACTTTCTACATTTTTTTTTCTTTTACACAATTCAAAAACTAATTTATTGCTAAAATAAAAGTTGCAAGAATAGTTAGAAAACGACTTAAAGAAAAAACAAATGCAAAAAACACATTTCTAAGAGGGGAAAGAAATCAGCAAACAAGGATTTTTCATTTCCATTTTTAGGAAGATGCCATGTTTTCAAATCTCTAAAAGTCAAATGATTTGTTAAGCTATACAATTCCTATTGTTTTATATTTGGATGGTCGCATTTTTATTTGACTATTGAGACAAAGGAAGCAACATGCATGCTGGGTACTGCTCCATTGGATGTTAGACAATTGACTTCCACATCTCAAGCCAAATGTCACATGTTTCGATTTTTGTATTATGTATAATTGTTTTAAGATTTGCCTGCGTGGATCCAAGTCAATGAGAGATATAGAGAACCATAGTTAAATTACTTCCTTCTCTAAACCTAAAAATTTGGTAGATGTTCACATACATAACCCATTGATTAATTAAGTTATGCATGGGTTTAGGTGAGATTCCGCAAGAATATGCATGCATTGAGGTATCTCCATTACTTTTTCAATATTTCTTTTGAATGCATCCGTTATTATATATGGGTCGCATATGTGTAGGGTTAATATCAAATTGTTGAGTCACATTTATATGAATTGGCGAGGGATTTCTTTTTTGTAAACTATACATATTAATATTCAAAACAATGAACGGAGAAGTAATTGAGACAAGCCAAAAATCCTGGCAATTTTGCAGATAATTTAAAACTTAATTTATTTACTGTAGGATTTGGAATTATGCATAATTGGTGTAGTTTTACTGTCTATGAGGGAACGGAATGGTGGTGATATTAATTATGTGCAAGCAAGGCAATAGCGATGGTGATGGCATGGACCTCCACAAATAATCTTTTTCACGCAATAGTTTGGGAAATTAAGTAGTATTTGAACTTCCAACCAAATTTCTCAGAGAAATTAATATGCAGACTACCAATTAAATCATGTATTGACAACAAACTGACTGTGTGTTATATATCTTGAAAGTTACAGAAATTGAATCCAACCCTTATAACGTGTAACATGGACCAAACTTTTGTTTGTAGATCATATCATGAACTCAAATATAGATGCATCATTTGAATAATACAAAGTTTGGATATTTGTGTCCCTTTATATTTATCTTGGAAGTATAGGTCAGTATCAAAGAAATCCCTTTACAAGAAAATTAAGGGTCACTGTACAAGGGATTATTGCAAACGGAGATGAAAGCTACGGTTAACGCATACGGAATCTTGATACGGATTTCGTAGCCGCTCCTTAGGTTTTCTTGAGTCCAACGACCAATCAACGGAGTGACTGTGGGGGCTGCAGCAGGAGGCAGCAATAGTCAGCTGACTGGTGCATTGTCAAGGAAAGGTTGCTGTGATTTGATGTCGGTCCCTAGCATATGGAGGATTGCAAACACTGTGGCATGGGCTGTCTTTTTGCTCAAAAGATGGGAAAACTCTGCATGTTTGTTGAAATGTTCACTTCAGCTTTCTTCTTGACGTGTGACAGGGCCAAATAATTTACCCAAAGAGTTTTAAGGTTATTGCTGTTTTTCAGTTTGATTATTTCTGTTAAAAGCCCTTTTAATTTAGTGTTTCAAAAGTGGAATAGTGCTGGCTTGTTCTTAGTATGGGGTTTCGCGTTTCAAAGCTAGCGAGGGAGTACATTTGGACCATGCAAAAGCTGGAAGGAACCCAGGACTTTACAATGGGTTGTAACAAAAGCAATCAAACGTATATAACCGGATAAAAATCAGACACAAACGTGCCAAACGTTCATTTGGGTGAAAGAAGTTTGTCCTTTTGGCATGTTTCTGGGAGTAACAAATTTGTGCCCACAGCCCATAGCAATGGGCGGGGGTAAATTAACCTGTCAGATAATGGAATTTATAATATATAGGTTTCGTTTTCCCTGCTGGGTTTGCCCTCGCAAAATCTCAACACAAAGTTGAATTATAATCCAATGGGCGGGGGTAAATTAACCTGTCAGATAATGGAGTTTATAATATATAGGTTTCGTTTTCCCTGTTGGGCACTTATAATGGATTCAAGGTTAGGAGGTGTTGGTCGAGGAATGGGATCTCATTTCACATGGACGTCGGTGATAACTAAGAGGGACGACGTAGAGATGGCGATTGAAAGAGACGTTAACATGAAGGAAGGCCCACACACATGCTTCGTTGTGCTCACCAATTACATCTTCACATTTATATCCAAATGTGCCAACAACACCTCAACCATGGGTTTCCCATGTATACGTCTAAGCTTCATGCGACACTTTCGTCCTTGTCATAAAGCCAAGAGTAAATGTTTCTCATTAAGACAACTTTGGTACGTATATAACTCAAATCTCTTTCATTTCTTCTGTATTTCGGTTTTTCTCCCACCATTTTGGGTAATTTGGTGGATATACGAAGACCCACTTAACAAATTTGGACTTTTTGTTTGTAAAATGTGAACAATTTTCATCATAAAACTGGTGTCCAAAATTAATAATGATTTATCATTTAATTAAGAAAGGTGGAGGATAATTGGTAAAAATTCAGAATTTGTTGCAGATATGGTAGCCTCGGCTTTAACAGATGGGATTACACTTTCTTTGAACCCAGGGATCATTGAGTTGCAATTCCAGAAAAGAGTAATTAAACACGAATTTTATAAGAAAAAAGCCCTGATTATACACTCTTGAGTAGTGTAAGTAACAATTAATGTTTTTGCTCCCATGGGTTTAAACCTATAAATTTAACAAGTATATCATGAAGAGGAACGACATGGCTTGATGTTTTCTAGGAAGGAAGGGAATCTATTTAGAGCTTCAATTTCTTTCAGGCCATATCTGCTTGCAGGAAAATCCCCAACCCCTTTCCCTTTCGCATAAAGCATTCGAATCTGATTGAAGTGGTCCTGCTCCTCCTGCACTATTGACTGTCTATATACGAGTCTTGGGACATTGTTTCTGATGTAAATTTACATCTTTTTTTGGTACATAAAAAAAATTTAATATTCAATTTTTAGTATGAGGTAAGATCTTGATTAACAGAACACCTGAACGGTTAAAATTTAAAATTTTATTTTGGAGAGTTTTTATTCAAATCTTGAAATAAGATGAAGTGAAATTTACAAGATGGAAAAACAAAAATCATAATTACTAAGAGAAATGAGGCTATTTTAAGGCTTGGACAAAGGCACAAAGCCCACTAACTTACGGGCCTTGGTTTTGTTTAATACGAAAGTTTTCAATTCAAATTAACAAATTAATGAACTTTTTTTAAAGAAAAATGGGGTGGGTATAGTTAGAAATAAGGTAGAAGAGTGGAAAAAAAAAGTAATTGCTATAAAATGATAAATTTATTAATTAATGGAGTGAGATTTATGAAGTGCTTAGTTAAGAATTTTACCAAATGAAAATTAAAACCATTAATTAAAATGATAAAGCTCAATGCATCCCACTCCAACTAAAATCAAATGATATTTTGGTCACACCCAAAATTAAATTTTTTTAAAAAAAGGGGGTTGATGTCCAAAATTTTAACATATGATAGGATGGCTATAGAAATGGGGCAAGAGAGAGAAAGTAGAATGAAATCAAGGAAAAAGGGGATGCCATATGACTAATGATCACTCCACCGTGGGAGGTCTAAAACAAGTGGGTCAACAGCATAAACTGTAATGGAAATGGAAAAGGGACAACACAACCTTTGCGGCTTAAACGGCCATGAATGAACCCTTCGGTCACAACTGCCCTGCCCTGCCCTGCTTTATTGCATGTAGCCAACAAAGAGAAATCGACACAAAGGGGGCTTTTCTTGTTGTGGTTAGTGGGGCAATGTGGCTTGTCTCTAAGCCATGTGCTTAGGCATGTGGCTTGTTGGATTTTGAGTTAATTACAACCGGAGAAAACGGAGGTCCATTTGGACCACCCGACTCTCACATTTCAGCTTTGTTCAAAGATTTTGTTCTTCAATCTTCACAAATTTTTGACTCTTTGGGTTTTGGGGTGTCAGTCGTCTTACCACCATCAAACACATTTACTCTTGTCCCATACCATTTCCCCACCAAGACATTTTATTCCAGAGAATGCTATTTTGTCCCTATACTCAAATTCATTCACATTGTTTATTTATTCATTATGAATAGTGGGATTGTCCCATAGTGATCGGACCCCTGTATTTCTCTCGTTTGCGAATTGTCACCCTCCACCTGCCCCATCTTTCATTTTCTCTTCTTCTTTGCTGAATTTTGTAGTGAATTTTGCCTGCAAATTTCCTCCAAATGCCACTGGTGGTCCACCTTCCCGAAATGATCTTTCCCATTGTAGGTCAAGATCAAAGCAAGTAATTGATTGTGGTGAATAGGTGATCAAAGCAATCTACAACAGTTAAGATCAAAGCTCCAGGTGAGAGTGTTCTCTTTATTTGCAATAAAAAGGAATACCGACAACAATTGCAATACTACCACTTTTAAAAGATTGCTCTAATTATTTAACGTGTCTGTATAGATTGTGTACGTTATTCGTTAGCTGGACACACAGCAGCTCTTTTTTGACCAAAATTTAACATGTGACCCATATGGAATCAGATCTGAAGAAGACAACTGTAGGTAATGCCAAGACAAGGCTAAAACCCCCAACTCATGAATACTACAAAGGCTAATATCCATTGACTAGATTAAATCCCATGATAACCTCATTCAGCAGAATTATTGTTCATGACAAGCACCAAGCTGGAAGGATTTGACAAACAAATTTTACAACAATGAAAAACTTCAAATAAACATAAATTAGATTGTACTGAATATGCAGATGTTAGATTCTGAACGATGCTCATCATCCATGCAGGACATTAGCACGAGTTCAAGCTGTATAAATTAAATCAATATACAACAGCTGCACCTAAATAAATCAAGGATTTCCCCAATAGGCAAATCCTGAACCTCTTTGTTTCTTGGCCTCTAAGATTCTAAGAGAACTGTGCCTTGACGAAGAATAGAATGGTGGCAAAGCCTGCCCAAATCCTCTACTTAATAAGGACGTCATGCGCAAAAATGCTGTCTAACTAAGCTACGAATATTACTATGTTGGAACGCCTTCACTTCTTTTATTTACTGGATCCATTACAGCATCTGGAAGGCTTTTTAATACCTGCAATGCAATGAACAAACTACTTATTAGTAAAAGAACAACAGAAAGAAGAAAAAACGAAGCAAAAGATAGTGCTGCAAGTTAAAACAATAATAACAGTGATAATAACAATAGAAACTCACAATGAAGTCAACACCAATATCCAAGCTTCTCTACATCTACGATAGAAGATGAAATTGTAATTGTAATGTTACCTGGTACAGGTGCCATGAAGCAAAAGCATCTGTTGCAGCATACTGTAGTTGCTCCTCGGATAAAGGATATAACTCCCAGTTTCCCAGCCTAATCATCCTGGGCTTCGGAAGCTGCAATACTCAACTTTAGGAAGATTTCCCAACAAAATGTTCAGCCTTACTGCTCAAGGCAAGTTGAAACCAAATAAAATAACTCGGTGGAAGGCCTGAATGTTAGTACTGTTTTCCAGTTGAGAACTAATATCATATTAGCTGTGTATAAGATGATTTAGCGCATTAATCACAATATATTTTTTTCAACTAGGAAGCAACAGTCTGTTAATGTTGACAAGCAACAATAACCAGGTATAAAGGGTGAAGATAGCAAACTGGAAATGGCATCTATAGAGGAATGCAGTATGGACTACAGGGTTCTAATCCTACTGAACAAAGAGTCTGGCAAGTAGGAGGTAAAGCTTTTGAACATGGTTCTTAATCCATAAACGGTTGAAGTTAAAAGTGCAAATAAACACAACAGAAAAAGCAACTACTTAGTAAGTTTCTGATATCATAGAATCCAATGTGTAGGAACTAAGCTGTTACACATGGTTATCACATCAGAAAGGCAGGCACTACTAAAGTTTAACAAAGCAGATCAACACAACAGATAAACCAATTACTTAGTTATTTTCTGAGAATGCCTCTATGAACATCCAAAAACAAGTAGGAAAATTAGATAATAAGCACAACTATTCTCATAGAAAATAGTAAGAGATGAAAGACTGCTTTAATGAACTCCAAGCTTTCAAATAGCTAAATTAGATAGATACCTCTTTGCAAACAAGTGTCTCAGTGAGAGATGCAAGACCCCAATTTTGGCAATCTCTATTGAGCTTTTGATTTGCTACATATGAAAGATCTTCCACAGCTTTAACAGATACATTATAATCATTGAACACCTTGACAGCATCACCACCAATTGCAACTCCAACCTGTCCATTTGTCAGCATTATTCAAAATACTAAAAACTAAACATACAATCTAGATACAGAAATTCAGGCATTTAGGTAGCCAACAAAAGGAAAATTGATGTAAAGACATTACTTTTATAACTGTGGAATCCTCAAGAAGAAAACGCAGAGTTGGAGGTATTCCAGAATGAATAATATGCATTACATAACAATAGCTAGTGTCACAACATAACTGCATGACTGCAGCCTTACCAGGCAAAATACCTGCAGAGTCAAAATTCCAATTATAAATGATTATCCTTACAGTATAATTTAATGCAATTTTGGCTTAACAAAACCCCCACAACCCCTTTGCAAAAGCTTAAAAAATGTGAATAAAGATTCTTACTCAAAATACGAAACTCTTATATATAATTGAATTGGATGCAAGGATGCAACCACAGTTTTGGTTCATAAAACACTAGACAGCAATTGAGCAGAAAAAGAAAAAACCACTAGGCAGCATTGGAACCAAAATCCATCTAGCCAATGAGACTCAGGAAGAAGTTCTAAAGGTGTCTTTATATATTTAAATTGGAAAATTAGCAAGTAATTATTTCCCCTGTTATCAAATCTCATACTCTGCAAAGTGCCATAAAGCTATCGGCATCCTCCTTGACTACTAAAAGGGATAGAGCCAATGTCTATGGTACCAAAAAATACCCTCTTGATGAAAGGTCAAGGGCCCAAAACAGGAACAAGCTAAATAAGTGATCAGGGATGAATTAGGAGGTGGTCAACCAAATCAGTCATTACACACAAAAACCAATAGATACTTGACCATGAATCCTGTACTGTCAAGCCAATTCAAAGTGTTCATATTCCAAAACTATCCTCTAAACACAATCTGATGATGATACAAATAGGCCACTTCCAACAGAAGGTAGACAAGAAGCAAAAAGAATCAAGAACATAGTATAAAAATTTGCATGTACACAACCATTTAGGTTCTCACAATTATCAGCTATTAATTAAGAGGAAATGATTGATAATGACCACACTGACTCATGAAACAGGGGATAAAGAGCCCTTAGCTTCTGGATCAAAATGAATATAGCAATGCTGCTGGATGGATGAACTGAAAGGTCGTCTTAAAAGGCAAGGACGTCACAGGACAACAACAGATAAACATTTTGTTTGAAAAAGCATAGCAGCATACCCAAACGTCTAAAAAGCATAAATTAAAAACTAAAAAAGTACTAAAATGCAATCCAATTCTAACATAAGTACATGATCACTCCATCTATATATAAGAACATGCATTTTGCGCCAAAAAGGTTACATATTTTATTCTAAATTCTTCAAAAGTATTACTGCTTGTTTTTGTATCTAGACACACTTCTTGCTTTTTACTTCCCTAAGGGAAATGAAAATAGAAAAAGTAATAACCAAAGGATACCTTAGAGAGGTCTCAGTAACATAACAAATTTTCAGTTTCATTGGCTTTCACAAAATTCATTTTTCAAGGAAATAAAAAACAAAAGGATGCTATAAAATGAGTGTAGCATGACAAGGAAGGTAAGGGAAGCAAACCTCTTTGGAAAGAGGGTTTCCACTCAATATCAAACCCTACAGTAACTTGACCCGTCTGTTTTTTCTTAATTTTAAGAATTTTCAAGAGCTCCATTGCAGCTTTTTCCACCTCAGATTTTGTCCTGCTATACAAAATTTGACCTCCAAATCTCAATGCCGGATATCTACTCTTTGAATAAGCTGCCAAATCCAAAGATAAAAAAAAGGGGGTTTACTAATTTCTTTATTTAAGTTAAAACTATTATAGAAAAAAAAAGGTCAGATAAGGGATAGTAATACCTTGACGACGTGATAAAGAAAATGGAAAAGAAGGTGGTGGGGAGACAATGGAATCAGGTAATTGGCGGCGGGTTTCAGGGTTCTTTTCTTGATAGCTGGTGGACTTGCATTTCTTGACGAGAGAAGGTGGATATGAAGAAGAGGGAGGTTGAAGAGTGGCTTCAACTGCGTCCATTGCTTGGATAACTGCTTCAGTGAAATTCGGGTCCCAATCAGAACCATTGGTCTCCTCGCACTCCATTTCCACCTTCGAAATGGAAATGAGGTTGGAGGGAACTGCGAACTCGGACGAGTTGAACCAGTTTGGGCTTTAAATGGGCCAATATGTTCGAAATCTATTTCAAGTTACAACCTTAACCTTAGCCCAGGTTATATAAGGTTGTCGTCTTTTTCTTGAGAACAAATTCGTCTCTTGGAAAGTCGAAAGCCATCCGACCTTAACCCTTTGTCCTCGTCGAAATCCAGCATTTCCTTTCTCCTTTTCTGATTCGAGGCGAGGAAAACGACGATAGCCTCCCCATAGCCAGGTTAGCCTTACTTCTTTCGCGTTCTTTTCTTTTTCTTTCTTTCTTTCTTTTCATAAAAGCTCGATTAGGATAGACTGATAAACAACACTATGATTTGTTGGGTCGTGAGCTCTCTTAATTTAAAGCTTGATTTTTTTGGAACTCTTGTTTATGGGTTGTTAATGGATTAATAGTTTCATTTAGAAAGCTTCCAGGTTTCACCTGAGTTACCATTGTTGCATCAATGTTTATAGAATGTAAATTATTTATTGATTTTTTCTTGTTAGTAATGTGCTAATTGTTGCTTGCTTGGCTTTGCTTTGGGCTTTGAAGAATTAATTGTTATAAATGATAAAATGGATACTGTACTTCTTTTTACAACAATTTGTACTGTACTTAATGTTGCATTCTAATCACTGTTCATTTTCAATGCATTATGATTTTGCTTTTACATTATAACAACTTTTTAAGAAGTAAAAAGCAAGTAGCAAAAACTAAAACAAAAACAAAAATTGAGCTTTAGTGTTTTTCCCCCCGACTAGTCATGGCAGACTTAGAATGTTTAGAAAGGAAACAAGTTTCTGCTCTCTGTTATCCATGAATGTGAATTGCAATGCAACTAATGTGGCATGTGTTTTCACTTGTAACTTATTACTATCTCACTTGGAGTTCAAAGTAAATCATTGGTGTTTCAGAGATTTTTTTAATTTTATAATTTATCACAACCAAGCTTTGAGACACCAAAATGCAAATATTAAGTGATTTTATCGGAGTTTCGTGGCTTTTTATTTCCTTTCTATGCATATTTGTTTCTTTCTTCCATGGATTTTGAAATGACTATTACTTATTAGGTTGTTGTTTCAATCATCATGGAGGCTAAATTCTTCCGCTTTCTTAAAATTGTGGGAGTTGGATACAAAGCCAGAGCTGAAGCTGAGGGACGGCTCTTATTTCTCAAATTGGGATACAGTCATGAGGTTGAGCTAACTGTTCCTCCTGCTGTCCGGGTATTCTGCTTCAAAAACAATGTAGTTTGCTGCACTGGACTTGACAAGCAAAGGGTGCACCAATTTGCTGCTACTGTTAGAAGTTGCAAGCCTCCAGAAGTTTACAAAGGCAAGGGTATAATGTACATTGATGAAGTTATCAAGAAGAAACAAGGAAAAAAATCAAAATAATGGCAGAGGTGCATGGTACTTATTTTGCAAAAATTTGTTGGCAAGCTTATGTGGTTGGAATTGCAATGTCACATTTTATATTAATGAGATGAATCTCTAAACAAAATTTTCAGTAGAGATTTTTCTTTCTCTCTTTTTTTCCCGAACAATTAGGCAGTTTGGGATTCTTAACACCTGTTCAATTTCAATAAAACACTTTATTCTGATGTGTTGGATCAATATCTTCAGAATCAGAATTGGATGCGGGGATGTTAAAGCTGGTGTTAATCAACTTTATTTTTCCAGCCTTGTAGTTGCATAATTGTTATCTTGGGACTAGGTGATGCTGGTGGAAGGAGGCATGATTAAAGATCCAAATGATCTTTGGCCATCCTGATTTTTCACAAATATAGGGGTGGGTTTGCTCCAGGCAGAGTTGAAAGCAATTTACTCTAGCCTTAACCAGGCTTTGGAAGAAGCTTAAACAAACAGTGCTTATTGGATCTAACAAATTGTGGGTTTTTAACCCAATTCCAGCCTTGTATAAGGATTTTTTTTTTCTGAGAAAGAAGATTCAAAATTCTTTAAAGAGCAATAAACATGCGATGACATTGATTCTAATATTTAGGTACACATATTAAGGACTTAAAATAATAGTAATCATAACGACATATCTATCAATAAAATCATAAAGCCTAGGATTTTGATGGTGTATTTTAATAGAGATCACAAAGTTCTTTAGAATGCTGTATGATGATTGTTTTTTGGGTATAGAACTGACAAGATCATTATCAGATGGTGCATCCTGAGTTCATTACACAGTGTTGATTTTCCTTTTAAATTCAAATACAAAGGTGGTAATACAAACGATAGAGCATTGACTAGCAAGTGTAGAAATTGAATGTCACTAATATTAATTTATATTCCACAAATATATGGAGAAACCTTCACTATAATTGGCATATATAATATTACAAATATTTTTGAATAAAGTTTGATAATATTATGATTTTGATTGGCTTTTACTATTTAAAATTTTGAAATTTGACACATAGCAATCAACACTAATTAGTTACCTAGTAATAGGTAATTTCATTGTTAAACAAGGGGAATGAATAACCTTTGTAAGTTTACTATTAATCGTTTAACATTACAATGTATCCCAACAACTCATGCAACATTAAAAGTCTTAAGTATTATTAGCTTTTTATACCATTTATTCCACTTAACATGGAAAATGTCATTAATATCATTATAATATAACAAATACTTTGGATAACAAATAAATAGTTAAAAGAATACAATAAAAAAATCAAAATAGCTTATTGACAAAAAAATTCATAATATAATATAATGTTTAGCTTATTTATCAACTAATTTTTAAACAATGAGAAAAAATAAGTACATAAAATATGAAGGAAGAAAAATTGATGATGGATACCCAAAAATAGCCTGCCGCTCTTTGGACTAGTTTCCAAAGGAGAGAGTCAAAATGCCCATTTGTTTCCCTCTAATTCCTTTCCTCTTCAACCCAGCTATATTTCCACTCTCTTCTTCTGCTTAAACCTCCCCACTAGAATCAGAAACCAACTCTGTATGAAACCCTTTTTTATTTGTCATTTTTCATGGTTTTGCTTCCTCTTCAGTAGCGCACAGCCCAGAATTTACTAAAGAAGAAACAGAAAAAAGGAAAAACAAAAGATGAGCACGGTGGATAAAATGCTGATAAAAGGAATCCGGAGTTTCGACCCGGAGAACAAAAACGTCATTACTTTCTTTAAACCCTTAACCTTAATCGTCGGCTCCAATGGCGCTGGCAAAACCGTAATTCCCCACTCCCTTTTTTAATCTATTGCTTCTTTATATAGCTTTCTTTTAATGGTTTTTTCTTTCCTCTTTTTTTTTTTTTTTGGGGGGGGGGGGGGGGTGTGTGGTGGTGGTGGTGGTTTGCAGACAATTATCGAGTGCTTGAAGCTTTCTTGCACTGGGGAGTTGCCTCCAAATGCAAGGTCTGGTCATAGTTTCATTCATGATCGCCCAAGGTACCCATCTTCACTTTCTTTTTTTTTTTAAGAAGTAGAATTTTTAACTTTTGATAATTGCAAAATGCATGATTTGAATTTCCATAGGAACAAATGTGTTTCATTATGTGTTAAACTCCAGCCATTTACTCATCTTTAATTGAGTATGATTTTGCTGTTTTGAAACTTTTGAGGAAGTAAAATGTAAAAAGTGAATAAGCGAGTAGCAGAAGTAACAGTCAAACCAAGAATAAGTAAACTATGTGGTAGACTCATTTTTGTTTTATAATTTCTAGAGTTGAAGGGATTATAGTAGGGCATATTTACCTTTACGTAGGTTGCAGGGGAGACAGAGACAAAGGGGCAAATTAAGCTGCGGTTCAAGACAGCAGCGGGAAAAGATGTGGTGTGTATAAGGTCATTCCAATTGACGCAAAAGGCATCGAAGATGGAGTATAAAGCAATAGAGAGCGTGCTTCAAACAATAAATCCTCACACTGGAGAGGTGAAAGAGAACATTGTTTTGAGCGATCTTACTTGTGTTAAATGAATTCATTTTTATTGTCTTATCTTATTATAATAAAGATTTCTAATATATATTAAGCTCTTATTTCAATCATACAACTAAATGCCCTTATGTTTTTGATGTGATATGTGTATAAGGAGCATTGTTACAGACTCATAATAACATAATGTCAGGAATATCATGGTAATCCTAGTGAAACTTCATGTGTTCTACAAGAGCTTTGGAACATGGACTCTTTGAGCTCTTTGTTATAGATTATTATTCTGTCTTTGGGAAATTGACATGTGAGTTCCAACCTAATTGTTTCTTTTTAATTTTTAAACGAGGAGATTTTATTTTTTATTGCTATATGAGAAGCACATTTCTTTTGTCATTAGAATATGCATGATCAAAAGAATAACCTGTTTGATTAATTATCAATATCTGGGATGAGTTTAAATGGGCTACTGATAATTATGAATAAAGGTAAAACGCATTAATATATACATCCTTTTTTCAATGCAAAGTTCTGTCATTATTTGGACATTACTGTTGTGTATCATGAAGGATTTGTGAGTGCATGGTTCCGTTAACCTTGAGTGAGTTATGTGGTTGAGTTAAAATTAAATAACTTTGGCCCTGAGCTGGAGACCTTCGTGGTTGGGTTAGTCAGAACATCGAAGGAATATTTTGGTGGTTACTGCATGAAGATTTTCTTTTGAGTGAGTTAGCCTTTATTCAGAGTTTTGAGCAAATTCATGTTGCTTACGTACACTCCTCAAGAATTGTAGTGTGGTTGTATTTGCTACATTAGTATCAATCTCCATGTGGAGCTTGCGTGATTTGGTATGAATCTAACACTGGTTGCACTTTTAATATTTCTTGTTTGTTTGTGAACTGCAGAAAGTTTGCCTCAGCTATAGATGTGCCGACATGGACCGGGAAATACCAGCTTTAATGGGTGTCTCAAAAGCTATTCTGGAAAATGTGATATTTGTACACCAAGATGAGGCCAATTGGCCTTTACAAGATCCTTCGACTTTAAAAAAGAAGTTTGATGATATCTTCTCTGCTACCAGGTATGCTGTTTTTTTTTTCCTTAAAATGCATGTCCTCCTTAATATGGAGATTAGTTGTGTACTACCTGCTACCTGTTGTTTGTGCAACTATGCTTTTTATCACTGGTTTTGGATTTTTTAGCATGTCTAGTGTACAGAAACACCGTTCTGTCCCCATGTCCTTGTATTTACAAATTCTTATCCCAAGTTACAAGCCAGGATTCAAAGATTTGCTTCTCTCATCTCTTGAATTCTCTTAATATATTTGTGCCCCCTAGAAAGTAAAAGTTTTATGAGTAATTCACATCTCTTTATAATGTTCGTCACCATGTGTTTTGCTGCTTTATAATTTGATTGTATTGCTGAGTTGGCAGCAATATGGGTTCGATATTTTCATGAAATCATTTCTTTTATGTTTGGCTTACTGCTGAAACTTGCCATTTAAGACTTCAATTCCAGATCTTTGAAAACATTCTATCTGATTTGAAGCATTTTGATGACGAAGGCACAGATTTTGGGCCAAAATTCTTTGATTTTTTGTACTTTTATTTTATTTTTCTAGGATGAGGGGGCAGGGTTGGGCTAGGTAGGAGTTGTTTGTGCTTCTTAGCAGGAGTTCCTTTTTGAAAAGCATGAACATTAGATTATTTCCGAGATTTCATCGTATTTTTAGATTCTACTTGTAGTCCAACCAGCAGTGCATTTGTTGGCTAGTTGGCACATTTAAATTTTCAGAAACTTCTCTTTTTCCAGATAAATCTTTCTGTGCATGGTCTCTATTTCGGTTATATACTTATTTCATAAGTCTTCACATTTTGTTTTGTTGAAAGTTACAGCATCTATAAATAATGTTCACCATACCAAAGAAAGGTTAGACTTGAATTATATCGACATTGGGCTCATTTTGTGATATATTCAAGCTCCAGAATGGTTCAAAGAAAATCTTGCAATGGAAGAGTGACAGTTTTTCAGGAGCAAAAATGTTTACTAAGATGGTGACAAACAGTAATTTTCTCCTTGAGTTCTTTCTTGCAAGTTGAGAATTTTCATCAAATATGCTGAGGCATTGAATACCAATCTTGGTAGGATTGAATCATAATTTTGATATTTATGTATTTTTTGTGTTGCAGGATAGAGTGTTTATATATCAGAAATCTGGATATCATTTAATATCTGTTACACCTGCTTGAGTTAATAAAGCATAGTGGATTTCCTTGAATGGTTTTTGTTTACTTATCTGAAGTACATTTACAGTTCCTCACAACAATTTCTAATTTGCTTACTTGTCCACTAAATATATATTTGTCTTGATTGTTTTAGGATATTCTTTAACACTTCTGCTAATGGCTGCCTGTAAACAGATATACAAAAGCCTTGGAGGTCATCAAAAAACTTCACAAGGATCAGGCTCAAGAGGTAAAGGCTTACAAGCTAAAACTGGAGCACTTGCAGACCTTGAAAGATGCTGCATATAAGGTGGACATATTTTTTGTTTCTTTTTTTTTTCCACAATTTTTTAATTCAGTTTCTTCTTCGTCTTTCCATCCCTTATGTGTTTATAATTTCTGTTCAGGCGGTGTTGTTCATCTCTCATTTTAAATAGCAAATTATAAGTTCTCAAGGCCTACACCATGGCATAAGCCATGTAACATACTCATGCTGTTTTCTATCATTGATCAAGTGACTGATTGTG